CTAATGACTCTCCTCAGGTTTTGAATTCAGAGTTGTCCTTATCAGATCAGTTGCGATCCAAGGCTATAGAACCTAGTCTGCCCTGCTATTTACCCATAGCTGGAGGAGAAAAATAGCATTCATACCTTTCCCAAGGTATTAGCACATAACTGAATGTAATGGATTCGATTGGAATTCCAACTCGGCTCTCCTATTCCTATATATATATATATATATATATATATAGTATATTTGGGGAAGCAGACCATCATTCAAATATATATTGTTAAATAAAACAGACAACAAATGCCTATTGTGTTTGACCATAATAAAAAAAAAAATTATCCAAATGTTGAACTGCTTTTGTCTTTATTTTTCCTGAAACAAAACTAAAGCCACTATACGAAGCTTAGAACAGCTCATGATTAAATATAATAGACATTCCTTTCTGTTATAGTTAACAAATATATATATATATATATATATATATATTGTTGTAGAGTAGTTTTCATAGTGGAGGCTTGTATTTCACTATGTCGGTCCTAAATTAGGTTCGACGTACAAAGCGTTAGGAACTTGAAATAATAGTTAATGACGCAGCAATCTAGTTGTGATGGTTGATACTTTAAGGTCCGACATCGACTGACTCACACAACTCACTGAGCTTCACTGGCGACTGCTACTACTACTACTTATCTGTGGGAGAATCTATTTACCATAGAATAGGTACGTTTCGGTATAACATATATATATATATATATATATATATATATATATATATATATATATATATATATAATATATTATATATATATTATTTGAAGTTCATTGGTCCCAAAATAATTAAATGTATACCATAAAGACTTTTTTCAATTTAAAAAATATATCACAAAGACAATTGAGATGATATCTTATATTTCAGGGTACCCTGTTGATAAAAGAGGTACTATTAAATGAACCCTTAACATTTCCAGACCGGTTGGAAGGGATGGCCCAATTTCCTGACCACCTCATTCACCAGACATCACTCCCATGGACTTAATTCTATGGGGTTATGCTAAAGATATCGTATATCTAACAAAGATACTGGATATCATTGATCTAAAGTAAAAGATCACTGATGCCATTGCCACCATTCCTATGCTACAGCGAACATGGTAACAATTCGGATACCGTTTTCATGTGCTTCCTGCAACTAATGGTGCCATATAGAGGTGGATTAAATTTGTTTTAAAAATATTCAATATCTACCAATCATTTTTTTAACAAATTCCACATTTTTGTCTGCTCATTTGATTCTGTAATATTTTTTTTTAAATTGTAAAGAGACTTTATGGAAACTGTGTGTAATGGCCTCATAAAGCGCTATTCAGAAAATATCTGCTCCGTTTTTCATAATTTTTTTTATCAGCAAATAATTTCTGGATACTTATCTGGCCTCAACAATTTAGAAAATGACTCTAATATTCGACACTTTCAGTCCTTATTTGTCCTTGAACGGCTTTTATTTTCGCTTTTAATGTCTTTCTTCAGTGTGCGTCTTATTAGCATTGTAAACTGAGTAATCCCACAATATAAATAGGCTGCTCATATACAACTAATAATTTTGTTGGTTGTGTCTGTTTAGCGGCATATCAACATCTAAGGGGGTATTTAATGTCGAAATCTAAATATTCTATGCCGCAAATCTGTTTTTCTTTCTTTTTTAGATAATAATGATCTTAGTGACACAGGTCTTACTAATTATCCCATAGCTGTGGGAGAGGAGGTGGATTCATACTATTACCTAGAGAATCTGCGCTAAAGTAAATATAAAAACCTCGACTAGAATTCGAATTCGGCTTTCCGATTTTAAATTCATTATCTATTACACCTCTCGCACACCAAAGATTACAAGACCTAGCATTCCCAAGCGGTCACCCATTTAAGCACTGACCAGGGTGGATGTTGCTTAACTTCGGTGATCATTCAGGAACTGGTGTTTCAATGGGATGTAGCTATAGGTCCATTAAACCACCGGCATATCTAAGCTTACAGCATCTGGTATTCTAGGTACTGACCAATCTCAACGTTGCTTAACTTCAGTGATCGTACAGGAACCAATGTTTCAACGTGAAATGGTCGTAAGTCTATTACATCACCAGCACAACGAAGCCTACAGCACCTGATATTCCCTAGCGGTTACCCATCTTGGTATTGATCAAGATCAACGTTGCTTAACTTCGGTAATCGTACAGGGACCAATGTTTCAATGTGAAATGGTCGTAAGTCTATTACATCACCAGGTTAACCAAGCCTACAACACCTGATATTCCCTAGCGGTTACCCATCTTGGTATTGATCAAGGTCAACGTTGCTTAACTTCGGTAATCGTACAGGGACCAATGTTTCAATGTGAAATGGTCGTAAGTCCATTACATCACCAGGACAACCAAGCCTACAACAACTGATATTCCCTAGCGGTTACCCATCTTGGTATTGATCAAGGTCAACGTTGCTTAACTTCGGTAATCGTACAGGGACCAATGTTTCAATGTGAAATGGTCGTAAGTCTATTACATCACCAGGACAACCAAGCCTACAGCACCTGATATTCCCTAGCGGTTACCCATCTAGGTATTGATCAGGGTCAACGTTGCTTAACTTCGGTAATCGTACCTTTTATATAACTTTATGTCCTCCGGTTGTTTTGTATGCGTTTATGCTAAATTTAGCAAGGTTGCCTTCCTGTTTTATGTTGGTGCAGCCAATGAGATCCATTGAGTGTTGATTCTGTAACTGGTGACTATTAATACACCTTTAAGATCAATAACCTGATGCACGTAACGCTGTTGATGTTCTGAGGATACCTGCAGATCGGAAATCCGCACATGGATTGCCGCAGACATGGAAGCGATGGCACACATTTCAAGAATATGGACGAGCAACATAAGTTTTCAAACGCAGTACAGACTGTACAAATCGTTGGTCGTCTCCATTCTCCTATATGGATGTGAAACGTGAACACTGTTGGTAGATACAGAGAGAAAGGGTGAAGACTTTGGGAATACATCTTACTTATTATAAAACGCAGATTGTGTGTGTGTGTGTGTGTGTGTGTGTGTGTGCGTTTATATATTGGATCGGATTTCCTACATTTTTCAAGCGATTTCAACATAACTTCACAGGACTACATAAAATTATCTTGCAGTGGTTCTAACAGCGCCAAAAATTGGAAAAACAAAATTGTTTTTGCACGAAATCAATTTAAAACACGATTAAGAGGCATCGCGAGAATGAAATGGGGACAACTCATATCGAGTTATACTTATTATAAACCCAGATTCTTTGTGTGTGTGTGTGTGTGTGTGTGTGTGTGTGTGTGTGTGTGTGTGTGTGTCTGTTCGTTTATATATTGGATCGGATTTCCTACATTTTTCAACCGATTTTAACAAAACTTCACAGGACTACGTAAAATTACGTTGCAGTGGTTCTGACAGCGCCAAAAATTGGAAAAACACAATTGTTTTTGCACGAAATCAATTTGAAGAGGCATTAATGAAAGTGGGACAACTCATATCGAGTTATATTTATTATAAAACCCAGGTTGTTTGTGTGTGTGTCTCTGTGTGTGTGTGTGTGTGTGTGTGTGTGTGTGTGTGTGTGTGTTCGTTTATATATGGGATCGGATTTCCTACATTTTTCAACCGATTTCAACAAAACTTCACTTTTTTTTTTGGATGGGAAGTGTTTCTTATTGTCTTGCACACTTTTTTCTTTACTTTTACATTCAGAATGCTTTAAAAATTCCATTTACAAGACAATTGTTTATAATAAAATTCTATTCAATCGGTAGACTCATAACGAGTGAAAACAATGTTTTTGTTTGAGTTTGGGTTTGACCAATTCGTAAAAAAAAATGCAAAAAAAAAAAAAAAAAACTACTTAAGACATGCGTGTCCGTCAACCTTAAACAATAATCTTTGTCAATTTTTCAGTCTTTATGATGGTCGATACTTGATCTATCTCTTACTGTTACATCCCCGGGCAACGCCGGGCTCTACTGTTAGTACATGATAAACTTGGCTTTTTCTAATGGGAACAAAATCCAATGTTTGCGGAAAAGGATTGAAAGTTTTGTGGGAGACCAGGAACCTCTTCCCGCCACTGTCAAAGAGAAAAAAATAGCGTTGTTTGGATACATTACAAGGCACAACTGCTTGTGCAAGACCATCATGCAAGACGCCATTGAAGGTGGACGTAGGAGCGGACGGCAACGCAAAAACTGGTTTGACAATGTCAAACAATGGACAGGTCTGACTACAGAATTGCTGATGGCTGCCGTTGACAGAGCGTTGTAGTGGAGATTCAATATGGCTTATGCATTGCCGCCTCCCCCCCACACACACACACACGATTACAAAAGTCAAGGGAATAATGATGAAGAAGATAAAAAGCTTACTTTTGTATCTCTTAACACAACTATTCTAGGGAACAAATTTTCCAAATTGACATTTCATCGAAGTTAAGTAACGCTGAGCCTGGTCAGTACTTGAATGGGTGATTGCTTGGGAATATCACGAGCGGTAAGCTTCGATGTTCGGGTGGTGTAATGGACTTACGCTCACATCCCCTTGAAAAAAAGGTTCCTGTAAAATCCCCGAAGTTAAGTAACTTTGAGCATGGTCAGTACTTAAATGGGTGACTGCTTGAGAATATCACGAGCGGCAAGCTTCGATATTCGGGTGATGTAATGAACTTACGGTCACATCATGTTGAAAAAGAGGTGTCTGTAAAATTCCCGAAGTTAAGTAACGTTAAGTATGGTCAGTACTTAAATGGGTGACCGCTTGGGAATATCAGGCGTGGTAAGCTTCGATGTTCGGGTGGTGTAATGGACTTACGCTCACATCCCCTTGAAAAAGAGGTTCTTGTAAAATCCCCGAAGTTAAGTAACATTGAGCACGGTCAGTACTTAAATGGGTGACCGCTTGGGAATATCACGAGCGGTAAGCTTCGATGTTTGGGTGATGTAATGGACTTACGACCATTTCACATTGAAATACTCTGTCCTGTACGATAACCGAAGTTAAGCAACATTGAGCCTGGCCAGTATCTAGATGGATGACCACTTGGGAATACCAGGTGCTGTATGCTTGGATTGATGCTTGGTTTAATGAACTTATGGCTACATCCCGTTGAAACAACAGTTCCTGAATGATCACCGAAGTTAAGCAACATCGAGCCTGATCAGTACTTAAATTGGTCACCGCCTGGGAATACCAGGTGCTCTAAGCTTCCATGTGCCAGTGGTGTAATGGATTTTCTGTTTCTCATATTCTTTCACACTCAGTAACCCCCTTGTGTCTTGGTGGCTTTATTGCCTTGCTTGGAGTGAAATGATTTTAAGAAATCTTTACTTCCTCCTCTTGCATTCATATCACTCGTCACATACATTAATGCTCTCTACCTTGAGTTCTTCTTAGGCCTTTTACGATGTGAACACTAGTATTAGAAACGTACCATCCTGGGTGTGACGATAAACTACATCCGGCAGCAAGGCCTCTCATCGAGAGGTTTTGAGGAGCGTGGAACCACCTATCACTTGCTGTTTTTCCCTGGTCCACTCCGACACGGAGTGGTAGCACCAGTTAGGGTCCCAGATATGGACAAATCGTGATCCGGTGTCAAAACACTATGAAAATATAAAAATACGTTTTTTATAGTAAACAATTCCAGCAACAGATTTTAGTAGAAAAAATTTACCAAAGTTCGCAGGAAAATTAAATATTGACATTAAATGACCCAACAAGATGTCGATATGTCGTTAAACCAAACTAAAAAAAATAGAAAAGTAGGTTATGCTAACGTGGTAGAAGGTCAGAAAGATTGTGTAGCATCAAGTGAAGTTTGAATTAACTAAACATGCAAAACAATTTTTCTAAATATAACAGTACAGTCAGCGCCATCTTCTTCTTCTTCTTCTTCTTATTCTTATTATTATTATTATTATTATTATTATTATTATTATTATTATTCGTAGTAGCATAGAAGTTATTCGGTAACCTTTTTAATCTGAGAGGCAGAAAGAATTAAAGAAAAGAATGGTTAATGATGATCACTAAATTTTTGTTTTGTTTTGCTTTAAAAAAAGACATCGAAAGACAATAAAATCTTTACAGTCTGAATTGGTTATTCATTTATTTAATCTAGTCATCATTGTGAGGTTCATTAAATAAATTTCATTGTCGAGTTTTAATTAGGTATTCGTCTCCGGGGAGACGATCGTTGTTTGTCGGATTCGGTGTTATTTGTCCGGTAGGGAAAGAAAGAAAGAAAGAAAGAAAGAAAGAAAGAAAGAAAGACAAGAAAAGGAAAAAATAGAAAAATAGGAAAAAGAAAGAAAGAAAGACAAAAACGAAAACAAAGAAAAATAGGAAAAAGAAAGAAAGATAGACAAAAACGAAAATAAAGAAAAATAGAAAGAAAGAAAGAAAGAAAGAAAGAAAGAAAGAAAGAAAGAAAGACAAAAACGAAAACAAAGAAAAATAGGAAAAAGAAAGAAAGAAAGAAAGAAAGAAAGAAAGAAAGAAAGAGAAAAATAAATGAAAACAAAGCAAAGTAGGAAAAAGAAACGTATGTAAAGAAAGAAAGAAAGAAAGAAAGAAAGAAAGAAAGAAAGAAGGAAAGAAAGAAAGAAAAAAGAAAGAAAGAACGAAAGACAAAAGCGAAAAGAAAAACAAGAGAAGAAAAGTAGGAAAAAGAAAAGTATATATAAGAAATAAAGAACGAAAGAAAAGAAAATTATAAATAGAGCGAAAAAACTAATGGAAAAAAAAGAAAAGAAAAATGAAACCTAAAGAACGAGTCACATAAAGAAATAATAAAACAGTGAAAAGAAAGAAAAAATAATACAGAAAGAAAGAAAGAAAGAAAGAAAGAAAGAAAGAAAGAAAGCGAAAATACTTACATTGAAAGGAAAGAATGAAGGAAGGAAATTCATGATATTTATTCTGAAAGAAAGTAAAGAAAAATACAAACAGAAAAGAAAGAATAAAATTGGTTGAAAAGAGAAAAAGGATTAAAATTTATGAAAGAAATAAAAGAGATACCACGAAAAAAAGAAAATGGGATAAAAGTAAAGGCAGAATCTCTGGGGGGTGGGGACTTCATTTCAACGGGGTACCTCTATTCCAAAAGAAAACGCCTCGAGTGCTGTTTGCTTTTAAACAAAGTCAAAGCGTTTCACTTGACGTTGGCGTGGAAAATTGAAATAAGCGCATGCGTACTGATTATATGATGGCGGACATTTCATCAGCCGCGTCTGCTGTACGTATGCATGGATTAATTGGGTGATTTTTTCTTACTGAATTAATCTGATATAAATCGACGTTGAAACTGTCCTTTAAATAATTATAATAGAGACACTCGATTCAATGTTAGGGTTAAGGTTTTTATTTAAGGAATAATAACAATAATATAGTCTTGAAAAGAAATTATGAAGGGAGAACGAACAAAAAGCACTTATTTATTGGTTTTTAAATAGTACATTTCTATACATGTCTGTCTACTCGACAAGCTTTGTAACAATTATACCACAGTGAGTCGTTCTAACCACTTGTATAAAGCACAGCTTTAGGATCAAACACAAGAGTAAAATTAATCTGCTTAGTAACCATTACACCATAACGAGAAGATATGAGGTTGTGTCATGAATAATTCAGTTTTTGTTTCTGTTGGAAATCCCCCACGTAGTCGAATCAAATTCGTTCCAGAGTTACTTAAAGGAAAATACACCTTTGTGCAAATTAATTGAAACAACAGCTTTAGTTTCCTTTCTTTCATCATACGGTCAGTTTTAGACCCACTGAAATAACAATGTGTAATCGATTTATATTTTTTTTTCCTCGGATTAGGTCATTTGCAGTGGTCTGCACCAATATGATTCTCTTTCTGGGGTGTATGATGAAATTTTTTTCCCCTTGAAAAATATTGCGTCATCCGTGATTGCATCAGATTTTCATTTCGCCTAGACACTATTGTCTCGACTTTCGATTAGTTGTCCTACGATAATTGTGAGAATTTAACTATATATATATATATATATATATATATATATATATATATATATATGCCCACAATTAACATGGAGTGAAAATGACAGAAGAGTGCAAATAAAATGAAAAAGAGCTCTTTGAGTTATTGAAAAAAAGAATGGAATCAATTATCAAACATATGTTGAGAAACTTTTGCAACGAATGATAAAAATTTGGGCTGCAGTCATCAAGGATAAGGGAGGATATTTTGCACGAGAGCAAAATTTAATCATAAAATGTTTTTTTATCTTTTTGTCTTAATAAAATTTCTAAAAAAAAATCATAATAATTTTCTCACATATAAAGTACAAAAAACAACAACTTTGGGGGGCCAATGTAAAAATTACCAGTGGTCGTCTTAAGCTTTTAAACAGTATATATATATATATATATATATATATATATATATATATATATATATATATATATATATATATATATATATATATAACAATAAAAATATTAAAAAATTAAAATCTTCAGACACACTGGGTTGTTGATTAATATTCTTTCTTTTTTTTTAGTATTATTTCATTTAGATTCCTCGACTAGTTTCGGCCAAAATGGCCATCATCAGGAGAAGAAATATTTCTGCTTGCTGGTAGCAGTGAACTAAACTAATAATAAATATACATTTTATTACTCCCCACAACGTACAACTCATCCATACGGTTTTCTTTATTTTTTATATATATATATATATATATATATATATATATATATATATATATTTTTTTTTTCTCTTTGGAACAGCTATAACCTTTATATATATATATATATATATATCGTCATTGGTGAATCTCATTGCCGAGTATTGGGGTGCTCATTGACATTTCCTTTTGTGTGAGGTGAGTTCTATGTTGTATCAGAAGAGTCTGTGGCCAATGTTTGGTAGGGTGGGAGGGTCCTGGGTATGGAGAGCTCTGGCTTTTCTTTTGACTCTCTTTCTTTGAGCAAGAAAGCCTTCGCTGCGTATTGATGGTCCAATGCTTATCACTCCATGCCACACACACACTTCAGTTGACACCATCCGTTGCGCCAAACTAGGGCTTAACAGAAAAATTCATGCTGACAGTTTGCATCGGACAAGTACGTAGAACGTCGCCTACATTTATTAAAGTTACATTAACCCACGGACACCGCGGTGAATGTTATGATCCTTGTTTTTAATAACTACAAGTTTTATAAGGTCTTTTTTTATTTTGCTAGTACTTTCGGCTGTACTTACAGCCATCCTCAGGCATGGAAATTATTTTGCTTTTTTTAGTGAGGTAATAACGAACACGAAATATCAAATGTGAATCGAAATACATATATACATTATAAATTAACTGATTTAAAATCAGTTAAATTTATTATATATATATATATATATATATATATATATATATATATATATATATATATATATATATCATACTTATGATTATGGTATTTATGGTTGTGTATGTGTGTGTCTGTTCGTTTATATATTGGATCGGATTTCCAAAATTTTTTAACCGATTTCAACAAAACTTCACAGGACTACGTAAAATTACCTGGCGGTGGTTCTGACAGTGCCAAAAATTTCAAAAAAAACAATTGTTTTTGCACGAAGTCAATTTGAAAACACGATAAAACACGATTCTGTCGCCAGAATGAAAGGGGGACAACTCATATCGAGTTATACTTATTATAAAACCCAGGTTGTTTGTGTGTGTGTGTGTGCGCGCGCGCGTGTGCGTGTGTTCGTTTATATATGGGATCGGATTTCCTACATTTTTCAACCGATTTCAACAAAACTTCACTTTTTTTGGCATGTAGTGTTTCTTATTGTCTTACACTTTTTTTCTTTATTTTTACATTCAGAATGCTTTAAAATTCCATTTACAAGACAATTGTTTATAATAAAATTCTATTCAATCGATAGACTCATAACGATTGAAAACAATGTTTTTGTTTGAGTTTGGGTTTGACCAATTCGTAAAAAAACAAAAAAACTAATTAAGACATGCGTGTCCGTCAACCTTAAACAATAATCTTTGTCAATTTTATTTTTCAGTCTTTATGATGGTCGATACTTGATCTATCTCTTACTGTTACATCCCCGGGCAACACCGGGATCTACTACTAGTATATATATATATATAATTTTCTTAACAAACACACACACACACACACACACACACACACACACACATATATATATATATATA